GACCGCCACACTATAGAGTGGGGTGCCAGTAGCCAGACCATCCACAGGGCCTTGCACCACAACTCCATGGACTGGGTCTCCGGAGATTCTTCACACCCTCTTCTGCCGGATACTGAGGGCCATTGTTATTTCCGTGATCATAAGTATTATTTTTTTTTGGCTAGTTTTTACGCAGGATGCCCTTCCTTACGCAACCACAGTTATAAGCGGTGGGCCTAGCCTTTGATGATCCAACATCACTCACAAGGCAGTGAGGGTCAGTTTAATGTCATAACCAGGACTATATATATATATATATATATATATATATATATATATATATACGTCCTACCTCTGGAAACCGGGTCTCTGGACGCAAAACGAAGATTGATTGATTGATATATATATATAACATTTCATTTTATAATATGGAAAAAATAAATGAGGTGTGATTCTTGTAATGAAATTCAAAATGATAAAAAAATGTTTGCAAAGGTCTCCTGCTGATGCCCAGCTATGCATTTATTCAGTTTGATAATGAGGAGTCTGCCAACAAAGCGAGAGAGGAAGCTGGCACTCTTCTTAAAGGACACACCCTTGGTCAGTTCAGTTGCCTAATTAATTATTCATTTTTTAATAGGTCTTTTTCAGATTGATTGGTCACTGTTTTTTATTGAATGTTAATTAGCTCATTTTGGGAGTTTGGTTTGTTGTTTTTTGATTAATGGTTCAGAAGGCTTGTCTTCTGTGAACTAGATTGATGAATGAGGACTATATACTGCGGTAGAGTGCTGTTTTTGTATTTTTTTTTTGATTGATCAAAATAATGCATTTAAATTTGCAGAAGTGAGACTTGTCACAGAGAGAAAGAAGCAAGGGCTGGCATTTTTGCTCTTATGTCACTTCATATTTCCTAAATTTTGAAACATTTTAAAATGATTGTTTAGTAAATTTTAATAGTTGAATGTGGCTTCTCATTTTGTTATGTTATAGTATAAAGTATTTTGTCATGTTATAGTATAACCTTTAGATAATTTTGAGAACTTTATCTCAACAGCACGTCACAACCTGATCATCCTATCCATCCTGAACCTCCATCTTATTATCCGATGCCACCACACCCGGGCTTTTACCCTGGGGGACCAATGCCCCCACCACCTCCGTACATGCATCCTGGTAGATTGCCACTCCCACATTTTTACGATCCCTTCTTGAGGCCGAGGGGGATGCTCCCGGGACCTCCCAATCCTCCTGCTTCCATGCACCATCCTCTTCCACCTGTTATGGATCCATACGCTGGGTTTGGTTTTAATACATTTTTTGTGGTGGTTGTGTATGTGTGCGTGCGTATATGTGTTGGTGTGTGTGTGTGTGTGTGTGTGTGTGTGTGTGTGTGTGTGTGTGTGTGTGTGTGTGTGTGTGTGTGTGTGTGTGTAATTTGTTTCCATGTTAAGTTAGAGGATGAAAATGAATTGCCCTTATTGATTTTAATGACTGCTACAGAATAAGATTTTTGATGTCTCTTATTGTTTCTCATACTTATCATTATGATACACTCAATATATCTCTCATAACTTCTTCATTGCCACTTGACTTATCACATAATTTTTAACAGAGCACCATACATGGAACCAGCAGTACAGATGACCTTGAATCCTCCACTGCCTCCAATTGCATCAACAGTCAACAAACCATTAGCTGTGGCAATTGACTGTGACATCATTTTAGTAAGCAATGAACAAAGGTTTGTTTGTCGTTCTTGCTTCTCTGTTGACTGCTGTGGTTGTAGTCTCATATTTTGTTGGCGTGAGTCCATTTTTTCAAATTGCTCTACACTTTTATTGTATTTCAGTTGTTGAATTTAAACGGAACATTTTTTCCTTACAGAATGTATGGTGAAAGTGTTAAAACTCGTCTGCTGGCATCTGGTTTGACTGTTGAGATCAAAGTAATTGTTATGAGTGGAATTTGACATAGTTTGAATTTATCAGTTTTTTTATTGGGTAGCTTCGTTTTGAGGGACTTTTGAGGATATGTTGTTTAATAAGCACCCAATAAATTTTCCAAATATTAATAGTAATAATTGTAGTTATTATTGAAAATATAATTTGACAATGATGAAATGATCACAGATTCTTCCTCACGATCTCACAACACTGAGTATGGTTGAAAGTGCTGGTAGGAAGGGCCTGCTCTTTGCTATCATCATCAATGATCAAAATGAGATTCACCGGTCAATCACTGTTAACATCTTGCATGGGTCACCACAGGGTTATATATTTGTATTTTACGTTATAGTCTGCGTCAGCTTTTTTATTGCTAAATAATAACTTCTTCTTTGAGTTGTTAACTTTGCATGTTGTAACTATTTTGCCTAAACTTCACTGCGCTACAGAGCACAGAAACATGCCACTGGATGACGCTATAACTCTCATCACTAGAAGTTTTGATAAATATGTCCTGAACAAGAAAGAAAGGTTAACAGCTGCTGCAAACGCAAAAGATGTTTTTCAGCCTCCAGGTCAAAACATTGTCTACCTTCTCAATCTTCTTGCTGACATTCGGTTCCTTACTGTTCCCGAGTTGGATTCCGTGCTGGAATATTTAGTGGAGAGGAGGAATCTGCTTGCTAGGACGAAAAATATTCCACCCTGGACCTCTATCAAAGGTTGTTTTAGGTTCTGTTCGTATGTTTAATTCATCTTTCATTTTATCTCCTGGTCGTTTTTTTATCACTCAGAACGTCATGCTGCGCATCCAAGTGGCCATCCACAACAACAGCAGCAGCAACAACATCAGAGAATGCAGAAACATACGAACGACGATTTTAATTTGAACCACAATTCCACTCTCAACGCACCTTCCCATATCAAGGAAGGTGAGTTTTTTGAATTAATTTCAAGTTCACTGTTTGTCAGTTAGATGGCTGTTTATCAACTATTAAACTCTTCATGAGTTTATTAACTGCTTATTTATTTAATTTTTTTACTTAAGAAAAATCCGGCCTATCAGCTGTGTTTGACAATCCTTTAGTACAAAAAGCATTGAATAACTTGCTGAACAACGGACCCAGCATACTCAAATCAATAAATAACGACTCATCAACGAACAACGGAGCACACTACCAGACCAGTAACAATAGCAACAGCAATGATGATAATGCTAGCAACATTAACAACAACGGAGCCGGCGATCGTGTCAACGAAAGCTGGTCAAGTTACGTGAATAGTGCGTCTGAGTATCGTTAAAATTGTCATTCATGTATTATGTCGTGTTTTATACTTTTCGAACTGTAATATTTTTTAAATTAAACGTGTAAAGCTTCCCTGTTTAGATCTTTTTGTCTACATTAGGCGTTGTTCGAAATTTGTTCTAGATATGTATGGTTGGAATGTCGAAAATGTATCAGTTGCATGTTTCTACTCGCATTTATGTATGGATCAAATATATTTTACGTATATGTATCGAACTTTTAAAAAGAATGCAGGGCTCGTTTTATCGCGTCACGTTATTAAAGCCGTTTTTAAATTTGAGAAAGCTCTTAGCTTTCCATACTTATCGTTTTTTGTGTTTTTTTTATTTTATTGTCAAACTTTCTATTTCTTTGGTTTAATAATTTGACAACTTGTTGGCTAAATTTTGCTGAAAAATGGCGATGCACGTACCAAAAGCTCCTGGTTTCGCTCAGATGTTGAAAGATGGTGCCAAAGTAATCTTATTTTATATTCAACCATTTTTGATTATAAAATAGTTTAGATTATAAACCAGTTTCAATTATTTTCCTGGTTGTTCGATCGTCGATAATAGGTGAGCGTGCGTGAGGGAATTGTTCTAGAATCCATCCATCTATCTATCCAGATCTTTATTTTTATTTTTTTTTCAGTATAATTTTTAATTAGTGTTTTAACATTTTTTCATTATGAAAAATCATAAATTTGACTGAAAAGTTACAGGATCAGTAAATCCCATTCATTGAGGGCTTAATTTATCATTCATTCATTTCATATTCATTGTTAGCTCACTCATCAAATTCTGATCTGTAGCAGTTCACTTTTGAGTGTAGACTGACTGGTGAAGTTAACTGTTAAGAATTAATAAGATAGAATGGTCACAGTGCAAGCAAATTTAATATAAAATGTTTTTAAATCTAGGAATTCTAATTGTCCACATGTTATCATTTTATATTATCAATATTAAAAATTAAATACATATTTTAATATGATTGATATCAGATATACTGATCTTTTTTGTAAAAGTGCCTGATTAGTTATAATTAAAATTAAACAACTATCTATTACTAAGTAATTAGTGATATTATGTTAATCATTTGAGGTAGGAGAGATTCATTCATTTATTCAATCCCAGCACATCATAGGTTTGGATGAAGCTATATTCAGGAACATTGAGGCATGCAAGGAATTGGCCAATACAACAAAAAGTGCATATGGACCGTATGGTCAGAATAAAATGGTCATCAATCATCTTGACAAGTTGTTTGTCACCAATGATGCTGCAACCATTCTCAACGAGTTACAGGTTGTTCAAATAAATATAACTGGCTCTTAATTATCGATGCGTTGTTCGTTTAAACTTTAAAAATTTATGTAAAAATTTGAAATTTTAAAAACCCAGGTACAACATCCAGCGGCCAAGTTAATTGTTCTGGCTTCTCAACAGCAGGAGCAAGAATGTGGAGATGGCACAAATTTTGTTCTGGTCTTTGCTGGTGCCCTCTTGAATCAGGCTGAACAGTTGCTCAGGATGGTATGGATGTCTTGCAAAAATTTTCAACTGTTAATTAATCTTATTTATTTGTTGATTTATTTATTATTCTTGATGAATTTTGAGTCAGAGATAAATTTTCTCAAAATCAGGGTTTGTCAGTAACAGAGGTTGTGGAGGGATATGAGCAGGCATGCAGGCTAGCTCTTGAAATCTTGCCTAGTATGAAATTGTTCCATTTTTTTCTGTTTGATTATATCATTATTTTTATTTTCATAATTATTGACTTTTTTTATTTGCTGTTCAAGTTTATTTGGCACTGATTAGTCGGAAATTTTCTTAAATTCTTAAATAAGATCTGGTGGTGAAGACAATTAGTGACCGTCGAAACAAAGAAGATGTAACTCAAGTCATCAGAAGCTCCGTAATGAGCAAGCAATACGGGCTGGAAGATTTCCTTGGACCTCTCATTGCTGATACTTGCAGTCAGTTGCTCTCCAATTCTCTTCAATATTGCTGTTGCTGTTGTTGTTTTTATATTCTTATAGTCATTTAATTCAAAATTTATTAACAAACAAATCTGATTTATTTATATTTAGTTGCTACTTTGCCTGAATCCAACTACTTCAATGTTGACAATATTCGAATCTGCAAAGTCGCAGTTAGTAACTCGTTCATTTTAGTTAATTTGTTTATTTACTCAATTTTTATGATTCAGATTAAAAAAAAATTTTAATGTTGGTTTTTAAATTTGTTAATTTGTAGGATCATATTAATTTGAATTTTTTTCCTCAGGGCCAGGGAGTGCAGAACTCTGTTTCAATCCAGGGGATGGTATTTAAGAGGCAGGTTGAGGGGAATGTAAAGAGGGCTGAAAAGTGCAAGGTATGTTGGTTGATTGCTGGTAGTGGAGTTTAGATTGAGTTGATTTGTTGTTGACTAGCAGGCTGGTTGGTTGGTTGGTTAGCTCGTAAAAATGAGATAATGATTTTAAAAAAGTTGGAAATGACTTGATAGGTGGCAGTGTACACATGTCCCCTGGACATCATGCAGACGGAAACAAAAGGAACTGTCCTGATCAAAACGGCGGCTGACCTGATGTCCTACAGCAAGGGAGAGGAGGGGCAGGTCGAAGAGGTTGGTTGGTTGGAATCATTTTCTGGAGAGATTTTTTCATTTTACATTTCCTCTTTTTTAACATTAGTAATTAACCGTTGATATAATCATCATCATAGTGCCAAAAATGTCGAACACACACTCGCGCGCGCGCATTGCAGATAGTTAAAAGTATCAGTGACGCAGGCTGCCAGGTGATCGTAACGGGTGGTAAGGTAGGTGAGATGTACCAGCATTTCTGCAACAAGTACAACATCATGGTCGTTCGTGTGCCGTCGAAATTCGACCTCAGGAGGCTCTGCAAGACTATCGGTGCCACTGCCCTACCTAGAATCGTTAGTTTCTGCGTTTGTTTGCTTGTTGGATGATGATGATGCTGCAGCTGGCAGTAAATGAAGTGATGGTAATGGTTATCTTCATTCTTTTTAGGCCCTTTCAACCTCATGAGAATTAGACATAAATGTTTTAAATAATAATGATGGTGGTTATTTTAATTTCGAAAGACTACTCCCACTCCTGAAGAATCGGGGACCTGTGATGTCGTCAAGGTCGATGAGATTGGTGACACGCCTGTAGTTATTTTCAAGCAAGGTCACCATCATCATCATCATCTTGTTTTTCATCTTTACATGTCATCATCGTCGTCATCACCTCTGCTATATTTTTCAAAATAACATATTTGTCATCATCAAACATTATTATTTTTATCTTTTTAACAGTTCACTCTTCGTCGTCATCATCATCGTCTATCTCTTCATCATTATCTATTTCTTCACCATCATCATCTCTCTCTTCATCATTATCTGCATCATCATCATCATCGTGGACCCCTAACAGAAAGTCAGGAAAGCCTAATAAGCACGATAGTGATTCGCGGTGCGACGGACAATACAATGGATGACATTGAACGAGCCATTGATGACGGTGTCAACACGTACAAGTGCCTTCATAAGGTCACTTTGTTCATGAAAAAGAAAATAATTTCTTAAAATGATGATGAGGAGGATTATGATTATCGTATAAAAATTTCTAATGCAAGCGACAAAAAATAATAACATGATGATATCGGTGATGGAGTGCCCTTTATTCCATGGTCACTTGAGCGCCTCTCATTTTAACTTTATTTATTCCTAGTGTAGTATGTTTCTATTACTCATAGTTTGACCCAACGTAACTTCGATGAAATTCAGGATGGTCGGTTGCTGGCGGGCGCTGGGGCTTGTGAGATCGAACTGGCACAACAGCTCACCAACTACGGAAATAAGGTTTCTACAGATAACAAATTTACCATGTCATTTTTTAATTCTGTGGTATATACCTATGCATATTGACCTATTTTCAATCTGTTTGTGATAGCTTGTCGCTCGCCATTTAGGACGTCATTTTCATCTTTTTTTTATGTTTACTATGGGCATGCTTAATTTCATAAAATTGGAAATCATTCATTTTGCCAATTTTTTACAATGAGGTTGCTTTTGAAACCCTCAGGTGTAGATGGAGAAGCACTCACAACAGATAACGCAACATCAAATCAAATCATAATTGCTATTTCTTTTTTTTCTAACCAGGTGTCAGGTTTGGCTCAGTATGCCATACAGAAGTTTGCAGAAGCCCTCGAGGAACTGCCAAGAGCCATCGTTGCTAATGCCGGTGTCAAGGTCAGTTTATTTGCTCATTCACTCTGATTGGTTTATATTTAATATTGTGTTTATTCATTGGTCGTTGCTGTTTGTCATATTTTAGCATTACCAACCAATTATAATACGGACTCCACCAGGCCTCCAATGTTGTGTCTCAGTTGTACGCCGCTCACCAGCTAGATCAGAAGAATGTTGGAGTTGACATTGAGGTTCATGTGCTGCTGTTGCTCTTCATCATTAGCCTTCTCATCATGATTGTTCATCGTCACCACATTCATAATTGATTTATAGATTTTTTGGTCATTGTAATGATTATGCTAACACTTTTGACCGTTCAACGTTATTGAAAAAATATTACTTATTATAAATTGACCGTGAAATTAGGTTGATGTTCCAGCAGTGAAGGATGCATTGGAAGCAAAGATATTTGACTTGTACATCACTAAAATGTGGGCCCTCAAGTTCGCCACCAGAGCTGCTTGCACTGTTCTCAGCGTTGATCAGGTCGGTTGGCTGGTTCATGGGGACGGACATTAATATTAATATTCATTAAACCTCATAAATGACTTGAGTGATGCGTTATTGTATATTTTTAGACCATGTAAAATTATTGCCTTTATGTTAATTTATGCAGATAATTATGGCCAAGCCAGCTGGCGGACCCAAAGTCAAGGACAACAAAAATCATGACGATGATGATGACTAATGATGATGAGTAATCTCTAGTTGATGACGACCCTTTTATAATTTAAGATTATTTCTATATTATAAATGTCTCAATGTTTTTTATTTTGTCTTATTTTTTATTATTTCTAAAAAATACTATATAGGTCTCTTACCATCTTTTAATCTTACGCTACAATAAAATTTTTTATTAACGTAATTTATCAGCGTTTGTTTTTGCAGTTCACTGTTTTATGTTACTATTAACAAAGCTAAATTAGAAACCCATTTAACATAAATTATTTGAGCTATCTTGTTCAAGTTTAAAGTGTTATATAAAGTTTTAAAGTGAAAATTATCAGATATTGTAGTTTATTCATCAGATCTCGTTAAAGTTAGTTATCTATTTTGCTCATAACTTAACAACTTGATAGATTAGGCCAGTTATTTCATTTTAATTCATTTAAACAAGTATTCGTTTATTTTATACTATTTATTACTAAATAATCATTACTACATCACTGGCGTCGGTGATGCTAACAGTTAATTAGAAATTGAAGTTAACCTGAAAATATTTACTAAACTTGTCGATTGAATAGTAAATTGGTTATTTTAATTCAATCGAAGCAGTAGAAGGTTAGTGTAACGTTATCAAATTAATTATATAACTTTAATATGGTAAAATTAAAGTTAATGGGTCGGTAATTTGCAGATTGTTTTATATTTTTTATTCACTAGTTGGTTTAACGATTGGTAAGTGATGGAGCGTAGCGGGATGGAGATGGTCATGGTTTGATCTTCTGCTTCATGACCAGCCTCTTGCTCGCTGCCTTCATGTGGTTCCTCACGGCTGGCGTGTTGTCATTTATCTCGAGGACATCTTCTAACGTAGAGGCCATGTCATTCTGCCGTTGAAACGTTTGCCAGGCTGGTTAGTAACTTTTGCTATCAATTTGTGCTAGATCAAGATTACTTCCAAGTAGACAATTTTACAAATTAACATTGTAGGAACTGCTACGTCTGCGTTAATGCACAACAATGGCGATGTATGTATGTACATTATAAATACAAATAAAATACAACATATATATAATACACACATATATGTACAATATACGATTCAAATAAAGACGGAGATGTTGATGGTGACCACCTGATGTGTTTGGTCATCCTCACTGTAGCGTTTATCGATGGATTTGGCGAGCAAGTTACTCAGGCAGAACTCTTGTCTGGTCAACGGCACGTCCACATCTGCCGTCATCTCTTGCTGCAGCTCGATCAACTTTGCCAATCTGATAGGATGGTAAGGTAGTATTGCTCATACACGTACATTCATGCACAGAGCATGCACAGGGCAAACAAACACACACAGAGCAAACACACACACACAGGGCAAACGCCAACAACAATTTTGATGACACCACTAAACGAACTTTTCATTAATTTCGGTAATTTGTTGTTCTATAGTAACGTCACTCCTCATGGCCATCTTCGGTGGAATCCACGAAAGTTTGGAAGCCACTGCATACACCCCTTTCTTCACACCCATCAGTAAGTTTCCTGCGTGTTCATGTATAGAATATTTAGTGCATCTTGACACTTTTCAATTAGGGATTAATGAATAAGGATGTGCTAATGGCCTCCCGTCCCGAGGTCACTGACCGTCGATTGTTAATTTTTTCTTTTTTTCAATGATTTCTTTTTCTAGGCTGACAATCTTTGCTTCCATCTCTCTTGTGGCCTGTCGAAATTTTTCTCGTTTGTTTGATGTTAGTTGAACCATCTTAACTCTGTAGTGTTTGTAGTAATTTGTATAGAAATCATCATCTCCACCATCTTTAAGTTTCTCAATCATCTTCATCTATATCAAGTTCTTTGTCATCGTCTCCATCTTATACTTCATCATCTACTTCGTTATCGTCATCTTATTTATCGCATCATGTCACCCATCATCACCATTATGGCGAACTTTGCAATCTGCGCTTGCTTAATTTGTAACTGCATGTCCTTGAACTTGATGTCCAGCTTCTCCTTCCGGTCATTTTGAAATTCGTTCCTCTCGTCGTTCGTGATCATCGTCTGACAGGCGTGCAAGATTCTGGTAGCATTTCAATTTTCATTCATTCTCATTGGTTGATCTTAACATGATTCTGATTGCTCATTGGTTGGGTGGAAAATTATTTTTACATCTAATGAGATTTAAAATATTCTAATTGGACGATCTAAATATAATTATAATAGCTACCTATTGGTTGTGTAATAAATTGTTTATAATTTTTTTAAAATTCAAGGATGATCAATGTCTGCTTACTGATCAGCTGACTAATGAAAATTTGACATAAATTCGAATTTAACATTGTTTGATTTTAGAGGTGAGCATGTGGACGGCGGTTTTGATTTTCAACTCTATATAATCCTATATAACTCTATAACACTATATAAATCTATATAATCCTATATACCTCTATATAACTCTATGGGGAAGATGGAAATTGGAGGGATAACGCGGGAATGAGTTAAAAAGATAGGGAATGGAAATTTTCCGGAACGTTGTCATAAATGGGAATTCGGGAGAGAATTGGGAATGGGAATAAAAATAGGAGGGAATAGGGGACAAGTTTCGAATCCCGCTCACCTCCAGTTGATTTATTTAACGAGAGGCATGATTTAAATGCTGCACCAACAACCTGGTCTCCAATAGCGTTGATTTGATGCCGCCAAACAGGTCATTTATCCGAAACCTCGCCAATCTCATCTGAAATAAAGTTTGGAAATTATTAACACTATGAATTTACTGTCGTTAATTATACAATAATTATAATAATAATAATTATTATTTAGTCTCGTTATAATTATGACGAACCAGATTGAGATTTTGTCTGTACTCATTCTTATCATCATTGCACCCGTCAACACTCATCTTTTTCTTCTTCATCTTCTCAAATATCTCAAATCTGAGATATAATTTTTTTCGTTATATCTTTCTTTCATTACATGATAATAATTTGGCTATAAAAATATAATAATGGTAATAACAAACACATTATCATTCACCATACAAATAATAATTATTATTATTATTAAAATTATAATAATTATTATTATAAAAAATAATTACCTCTGTGCCATATTTTTTCTAACATGCAGCACAGCCTCTCCTCGCCCCTTCCTATCTTTCACGAGGTTTTCCTGCAGTTGTTTCAGCTGCTTAAATGCCAGCAGCCTAGATTCTTTGGCCTGCTGATGCATGCTAGTTATGTCGTCCAACTCTTTTTTGTTGTGCTTCAGTGCCTGTGTTTCATTAAAGAATTAATAAATTACTTGGTTGATTGGGTGAGTGAGTGATTGATATGCTGGTTGGGTGATTGATTGATTAATTTTTTGATTGATAACTTAATTAATAACATGATTTATTGATGATTGATTCATAAGTTGGTTTTTTTATTCTTTGCAGATCCAATTACTGCAGCCAAAGAAGTAACAGAAACCAGAAATGAGATGGAGTAATGCAAAGTAATGAAGGTGAGATACGCCTGTAAAATAAATTCACTTGTTTTTGAATGAAAATGTAACAAATAATTTTTGTGATTCACGACGTCATGCGTAGTGTTGAGTGCCAACGTAAGAATACAAAATGATCTTTCCATCAGCTTTTTTATTAAACTAATTTATATTACAATTTATTACGTAATTATTATAATTAATTTAATTGAAATAAATAATCGCAACGGTGTGCCACCGTAACTTACCAGCTCAACATCTCTCATCTTACTGGGGTAGAGGTGAACTTCCTCCTGCAATAGTCTAATGATAGGGATGTAGTTGGACTTGATGTAGGCGTTTACCTGAGCCTTGTTCTCAAGGTCTGATATCTCGTGCTTCAATCTGTTCGTTTTTGTTCATTCATCTATTTGTTTTCTTGTTTGTTTTGTTAGTTTGTTATGTTAGTTTGTTCGTTCGTTCGTTCATCTGATTGTTTTCTTGTTTGTTTTGTTTGTTTAAGGTTGTGGTCTCAATGAGTGAACTTATTGAAAGATTATAAAACTTTTGAAATTTTGTCTCATTTTTAATGGTTGCATGTTGTTGGGAGCGGGTGTTAATTTCAACTCTTTTGAATTTAATTTTTGGAAAGTTACTCTGTAAATTTACTGTGAGATTGTCGTGTTTTAAAGATTGATCAATGTTGTGTTAATGATTTATTAAGTCAGGTGTGATTTCACGAGGTGATGATGAACGATGGGAGATGAAGAAGGATTTAGAAAATGAAGATGATTGTGTGTGGAGGCTAATTTCAATTTCCAAATTTAACTTTTGGAAAGTTTGTTCATGCATTTATTGCAGAACTGCCATATTTCAATGTTTGGTTACCTATTACGTAAATAATTCATTGAATCTCATGTGAGATGGATGGAAATAGATGAATGATGAGTAAGGATTGAGATTTGTAAGTAGACTGTAGATGTCAATTTTAACTTAGTGGATTTAATTTTTGAGAATGTTCGTACATTATTTAAAACTGTAATGCTTAATTGTTAATAATTCATCAAATCAGGAGTCAGCCAGCAAAATGGAAATAAATGGAAGATGAAATAAACCCACTCTTCCTTCCCATCTCACTTGTTGATCTCATCCTCAACTTTATCCTCCAACTTTTCAGATGATTTCAACCGATCGAGAAAGACAATCTCCTTGTCCAGCTCCCCAGAAAGTTCGGTCATCTTGCGAAATCTATATGTCAGTAAGTTGAGGGCATTTTTTTTCAGACCAATTTTGCAAGTTAGTGATTCCATCATATCCTCTGGAGATTTGCGCGAGTATTTCAGCTTGGATTCGCGGTCGGGGAACAGTGTCAAGTAGGTGTGCGACGATTTGTTGCTAATGTAACGCATCTGTTTTTTTTATGGTGGAATAAAAAAAATTTTGTGTCGAGTGAAGGTGGGGAAGGACATGCTGATTTAGTTTATTATATTTAGTTCTTTCGTCGTTAATGAAAGATTAGTGTACAAAAAAATATCGTTTAGTGCGCTTACGAACCATTAGTTTTAGTTTTTTGTTTTCCGATTTGAGTACGAGTACGACGTCGTCCAGAAGCTTTTTGATGGCCCCATCGTCAACTTTACGCTGAAATTTAAAAAGAAATAGCTGACCGGTTTATAACAGAGTTTACTTTTAATTTTTTTTTAAATGGCACGATGTTGATAATTCATAAATTATAAGTGTTAATGTGCATTATTTTCAAGACTTCGGTATATTTTCAAGACTTCGGTAAATGATTGAAAATTTTCTTGTCAGGCGTGTGTCTAATTGCTAATAGGACATGCAACTTGAGTCAATTTTAGTCAAGGAAGAAATGTAAGCAGGTATGTGTTAATTGGATCTTTTCTATTGAGATCAAGATAATTATTTTAATATTTGTAAAGATAATGGCGTCACATCAAAACACACTGTATCTGTAAATCAAGCTCTGGAGTATTTTGTGAGGTAATTTCCTAACATATGTGTTTTATGACTAATTTTAATTTAAATACCTTTTCAAAGTTTTTGGATTTTATTTCATAGGAATCTTTCAATTCAACGTATCTCTCTTTCACATGGTAACCAATGAGTGGGATTATTGGATTTTCGTCTACGTTCGACTCCGTAGAATCCTCCATTCTTCACAAATTATTTTATTTTGTCAGAAAATAACGAGCTGATTATGTCGGATATGCGTTTCCAACTGTAAACTAAAATTGAAAACAATGACGCTCCACAAAGAAAATATTTTTTTATATTTTCATTCGTATCTAGTTTACTTTTAAATTATCGAAATTTTGTTGTTTTTCTCATGAATTTAAATTTTTAAATGATTTTAAATAGAAAATTCGTGATACGTAGCCGAAGAGTTAATTAAGGTAGCTGTTACTGTTGAAATCTATAAATTTGTATTTAAAATTTTTTTGTTTCGGAAAAAAGTATTGTAATTCGAATCGTGGCTCAGTACCATGGAGGAGTTGGAAGCTCTCCTGAACGATAAGACCGTACTAATTCTGGACCGGAACGTTGCCCATTCGAACCAATCGAGCAATCATCAGGTGGACTTTGAGATTTTCACGAAATCAAAGGGCTCTGCATCAGCAGGTCATTCTTCGAACATTCCTCCAATCAACAAAACGATGTGGACTTGTAATGTTGAGGCCGTTCTCGAGTATGCCCGTGTCGTATTTGACCTCTTTCCAAGCAATAAATTGGTGGGTTGAATTAGTTACAATGAAATACTTATTTAAAAAAATTAAATAATAATTTTTATTGGTTCGTCTATTTTATTTTGTTATAAAAAAATGTTTTGCCTCATTTTATTAATTATAATAATTTGTTAATTAAGAAATTAGTGTCACTAACTTTACCATTTAATTATGTAAGTAAGGTAAGCCATCATTTAATATTAATTTAATATTTTAGAGTTTTAATTCGCTAATGAAGTTTGCTGAAATTCGTCAAGTTTTTTTTAATTTAAAATAACATTTCTTCCAAATTTGTTATAGTATGGTTATACTTTTATATATTTATTTGTTTATCTATTCATAATTGATTGTAAAATAATATATGAATTGGTTAAGGTGCAAGTGGTGGTGAATGACAGTCAGCCATCATCTATAAATACCTGGGCCCAATCAACTCAAAACCTCCAGCATGTTAGCTAGATTAGAAGACTATAATTTTTTATTATTTTACTTTTCAAAAGTTAATAAATTCAATTTATTACATAATATTAATATAAAAAATAATTAACTTAAAGTCAAACTTGAATTTGTAGATCATACATTAACATTTAATAATTGACAAAAATAGATGAGAAAAATCAGGTAGCAGTTTCCAAGCTGGGTGTTAAAAAAGTCCTTATCAGCCATATCATAAATTTAGAAAACATTTTCAATTGAGTTATATAATTTATATTATTTAAATGTTATAAATTCAATCCTTAATTTAGATAACCCTGGGTCTGGCGATGAAAGCCAAAGAATATTTATCAAGGTTGTCGTCGGCTGACAATGCCCTGCAGCATTCAGAACTCAATGGTCTTCTTGTTGCCATGAAAATTATTAGCACCATGACGCCTCATCAAGAAAAGATTTTCAACAACTATAATAAAAATACTACTACTTCTACCAGTAGTGGTAGTAGTAGTGGTGGGGGTCAGACCAAGCTGCCTCCAGATTTGCTGAACTCTGGAAGGATTGTCTACATATCCTCTTTCAAAAAGTTTTTGTTCACCATTATTTATGTTATATTTATTTTTTGTTACTCTTAATTTTAAATTATTTTAAATTTTAAATTATTAAGACGTCCTACCTCGGGGAACCGGGTCTCTGGATGCAAAACGAAAATTGATTATTTTTAAATTATTATTTTTATATTTTTATTATGCTTGATACTGTTTCTTATATTATCATCTATAATTATTACTACTGACTATAAATAAAGATATAAGGTCAGTTTATCTTGATTTATGACATACATGTATATTGATTTACCCCATAAATATACAAATTAGGATGTGGGTAGATTTAATGGTTTTATTATTTCATCATTTATCATATTTAAATGATAATTAAAGTTGTATTTAATTGCTTAACAATTCTCTTAGTTATTATGAATTTATACGTTTAAAAACTTAATTCAATTTTCTTTGTTATTTATTTATAATTAAAAATAATAACAATATAATTTTTTTGTCAGTAACGATGCTGTGAGGCAGTTAGAAGATAGTTTATCTAATGCAGTCAACCTCCATAACCGAATCATGTCTTCAAACTCCCAGCTGTTATTATCATCATTTTTCATTTCATATCTTTCATTCTTGTTCTTTGATGGATTGTTTGTTCTGGTACATACCATCCAAAGTTCACTTGAACTTGTTCCACTTGAATTTGAATTTTTATACAACTGCTACATGTTTTCAAATTGCTAGAAGCAGTGCCGGCTCAAGGTCCCAGGCTTCAGAAATGTCAATTTCAATATTTTGAATAACTTTACTTTTAAGTTTACTTGGTTCAAAATATTGAACCATATCACAGTACAGCAACAAAATTTAAAGTTTTTCGTTTTTTGAGTTGATACCTCTGCTTCATGTGGTGAAGATGGATCATAAGAAATGTCTTGGCTGGTTTCAAAAAGAGCATCAAAGATTACTCCAGCACAGTATCGAAAAGGTTGCCCAGCTTCAATCTCGCTCTCCCATCTTGTTGCATTCAAAGGTTTTGTAGGGTTTTTTTTTCCAAGATGATTTTTCAAAACTGTCCATCTACTAGATGATCCACTAAGAGAGTTATAAATGACTTGCACCATTCCAAAATGAGCCACAGCCTCTCTAGATGGTTTTGCATGTTACACGTTAATGATTGTGATAATAAACTGTGAAAATAAATGATGTCTTCTGGTAGTCATTTTTTGTATTTTGTCAACGCTAACTGCTGCTGACATGACTGGCGAGTACCGCAGTCCACGCGTGTGGACCTGCCAGAAGTGGTAGAGGCGGTCGTTTGATCATGTTCAAACTTCACAGAGGTACAAATTAGATCATGTCTGCCATACTTATCGAAAGAAAAATTAAATTACGTTAATTTCTTGGCGATGACCGCCCGAGACAGCTGCCTCTCTTGCCTGTGCCTAGAGCCGGCACTGGCTAGAAGCATGCTGCGTGTGTTATTAAAATTTGCAAATTGTAATAAAGATGGCTTGAATCGTTGTAGATGTTTGCCGATAAATAAAGTTCATCTGATATTTGTGGACGTCTGCCCTGTCAGAGTGACAAACAGATGTTCCAATTATTACAAGAGAAAGGTTTTTAATTTTAAAAATTTTCAATTTTTTAAAATATTTTCATACTCATCTGTCAAAATTTTTACTCGTATTGTTATATTGCCTTGATTGTTGTGATTATTTTACAATTGATGATTGCTTGCAGAAAATGCATTTGATTTCTGTTGTGTTTTAGTTTTATTTGAACCGACTGATAGGTGACAGATTATTTGGTGACTGAACTTCACTGCTGCCAATCAGGGAAGAATGTTTTCTCGAAGATGGTTGAGTTGGTCATGGAGCATTACTCGCTGGCGTTGACCACAATCACCGGCATTCCAATGAAAGTTTGTCGCTCATTTTTGCACGAATTTACTTTAATAATGGTGTGTTATGCTTTTTCGAATTTGTCAATGCGAGTTGCTCTCTTCATCTAACTAAGTTTTCACTGATTTAATGTGGACGCATTTTTTTTTTTTTATTGGCGTTGGCGTATGTAAATTTAAGCTAACTCGTCTAAAGTTCGTCTATATTAATAAATGCTGGCAAAAATGCAACGCTGCAAACCACCACCAGGAGGAACAGAACGCGTGCTCGTCGGCTAATTATGATGTGGAACTTCTCCATCGAAAGGACACCCATCATGAATTATTTAAGACAGGTTCGTCTGCTGATGCTGATGCGAATGTGGTGGTTCGTAAGAAGGGACTGTCCATAAGGGAGGTCAACATGCTTTGAGGGGGCCAACTAATTTGTGGCAACACTCTGTGACGGGAGGAGAGTGTAGGTGAAGCCTGATGTCTTCAGTGACGTCCCGATTTGCACTTATCCATTTACACATTGATTTCCGTTCGGCGATATCAGATGTAGTTGGTATTCATTTGACGATGCTGATAATTTGTATGGAAAATTTTGTATTGCTAACAGCAGATTGATAATTTTTCAAGAGAAGAGGCCAAAAAGTTGAGATGTGCTTTATGTGATGAGTTTGAAAATGTGTGGCAGGTCCAAAAATCTCAATTAAAAAAAATTTGACATCCTTTATGGACAGCTCTTATTGATGATGATGATGATGCGATGTGATGTTTATAATAATAATAACAATGAAGAAGAGACTACAAATGATTAAAGTGAGTGATAAGTTTGAAGTGATAGATGACACTTGCCTGGACACCACTACCATCACTCCAGGTTGCATGGACAGCCTGATGAAGTCGAAAGAAATCTTCGGCGCTGATGCTATTCCATTGAAGTGGTGCACTCCAAAATCATTAATTCCTGGTTATTTATTCATTCATTTATTCGTTCATTCATTTTTTCATTGATGCATTCTTTCATTCATTGGTGCATTCTTTCACTCATTCATACATCCATTCTTTCTTCTATTCATCCATCTATTCTTCATTCATAATTTTAATTTTCCATTAAACTTCTATTCTAATCTTATATGCTACAAGGCAGTGTGAAACGTAAAGATGTGTAAGCATACACGTACATACGTACAAACAAACATACATACAAACAAACAAACATACATACAAACAAACAAACATACAAACAAACAAACATACATACAAACAAACAAACAAAGACAAACAAACATACTCGTACACGCATAGACATGCAGCAGTGCCACTCTGCTTACCGGATCACTCCAGTTGATGTCAACAGCAGGCCATCTCTATGTCTCACTAACTTCTTACTTGGTGGTGAGTCAGACCATTATTATTATTATTATTAATTATTATTATTAATTATTATTAATTATTGTTACTATTATCAATTATAGTGTGAACGTAATTATGATCATAGTTGATAATTATGGTAAGGTCGAAGTGTGATGCTGGAGCATCAGAGCGGGAAGAGCAGTCTGAAGGTGATCTCACACATGCTGACGAGCCACGCCGGAGAGATCTTCATTCATTCACTGTCCACCTTTCGATCCATCCTTGAGGATCCGCCGTCAATCAGTGAGGGAGTGGGCGGTCGACTGACGGACTATCGAATCCAAGTCAGATCCTGTTCAAGTGTTCATGTGGAGTTGTTGTTGTTGTCGGTGTTGGTGGTGTTGCTGATGATGTTGTTGCTGATGATGTTGTTGTTGTTGTTGCTGTTGTTGTTGTTTCTGTTGTTGTTGTTGATGATGTTGTTGTTGTTGGTGGTGGTGGTGGTGGTGGTGGTGGTGTTTTCGATTTTTAAAGGTTTAAATCTTGAAAATTTTTTGTAGACACTCTCACACTGACACACACACAACACATACTTGCATACACTTATACAAATGCATACATGCAACGCGTAAAGCAAACAAAATTCTTATTGTCCAAACAGGATTTTGGCGAATTGATGAAGAGATGTAGATTTATACCATACTCAAGTGAATCTGTTACCGATATCAACGGTGGCAATATAGCTGCCAGTAGCAGCAGCAGTAGCAGCAGCAGTAACAATACTAGTAATAGTGTTTCTGGCAGTGCTAACTGTGGTCTTGCCGGTGAGAAGGTGCCACTTCAAACAACGTCAGGGGTGTCCAAGATGATTACACCATTGGAGAAATGTATGTAATATTTGTTACAATTTTTTTAATTTATTAATAATTTAACACACACACACACATCACATACACACATCACATTGCACAGCGAAACAACAGTTAGAACGCATAACAAGATACTGGCCTCTAACTATCAGTGAATCCATACTGACCAGCATGATAGGGGTAAGTTTATATAAGTGTGGGTGTGTGTGTGTTTATGTGTATGTGTGTGTGTTATATACACGTGTATGTGTAAGGAGAGATAGAGAGGAAGTGAGAGAGAGAAAGAGAGAGAAGGTATTATGATGAATACGGAAGTGTAAAACCTGCATGATGCATTTTATAAACGTCTGAGGTTTTCCTTTGTTGCATACGATTTAAGTTAGCAGTTCCATGAGCCTAATTTCAAATGGCAATAATGTTACTCACTAATTGCTCCTATTACCACCAAATAGATAATTGAACCGCTTTCGACGCTCCTGACGAAAGAAGTTTTATCAGAAGCAGACGTCATCGAGTGCTTAAAAATAATTCACAGTATCGGCATCATGGAGGCAAAGAACGATCCACTCCCATTGGCTAACACTGGAATCAAAGGAGGGATTAAAAATGTTAAGAGGTCGGTTAGTTCGTCGAATTAACATGATTTATGTTAATGAGGGTCATGTATTCATGCTGATAAGTTTTTGTTGTCTTTCAACCAGGGAGGAGCAGTACAAGCAGGTGTGGATCGAACTGGAGAAGCTCATTCGTTTCCATGGGAACTCTTCAGCCAATCACGAAAGAGTTTTGAGTTGCTTGCTAGATTGTAAGAAGATAAATCCACGAACAGCAGCAGCAGCAACAACAGCAGCTGCTGCGGAAACATCAGCTGCTGCAGTAGCTTCAATTACCAGCACAGACATTTCAAAGTTTGTCGCATTAATTTTTTTTTCTAACATTTGTTTCAAATGTCTTTACACATTTTTTTGTTATGTCTCTTTCATTTTGAACTTTTCATTTGAAATTATTTTAAACAGGAAACTTGATGATGTAAAATCAGCTGATGGTTTGATGAGTGACAGGTCGATTGAAATTAACTCCTCCTCTTCAGCCAGCACCACAACGACATTAACATCTACCTCGAACAAAATCGCAAGCAACATCTCAGCCACGACAACGACCGTTAACAAGCACAGCAGAAAGGCTACTAGAAATGAAGATGACGATGGTGACGATGGTGATGGAGGAAATGGTAAAAAAAAGTATAAATATATGATAGATAATCTAGTTCGAGGTTAGTTTAAAATTAATTCCGTCTCATGTTCGTTAGTATATAAACATTATATCTTATGAGCATTGTTTGTCATTTCGTATCATCATTTCTTTATCATAAATTTATACTAGATGTTAATTTATTTTTCAAAAAAATTTCTGTTATCAAGTGTGTATGTATTTGTGTAGCCTATTAAAAGTTGATTAGTTCACATTTGAATGGCGATACTGTGCATTACAAGCTTGACAGTTTGTTTCATTTAATATTTATATGGTAATAGTAGCATAGATAATTTAAAAGTTTGATGAATCAAATTATAATTTATTAAAGATGTAATAGAATTTATTCAAAAATATATTAAAAATAACAAAAATTTTTGGGATTTTCGTTACAGGCGAATCATTACTGAGCCTATGGTATAGAGATCTGAAGGAGAAGTCAAAGAATAAGCCAAAGAAACTCCCATTTTATGGGGAGCTTCAAATGGTTGACAATTCATATGAGTTGTATCAATTCATGAAGGAAAATAATAATAATACTACTGCTACTACCTCCACAGCTGTTTCTACAGTCGCTAGTACAGCTTCTTCAAATACTACAAGCAGCAATAATAATAATGTTTCTACAACAAGCAGTAGTAGTAATTTTAATAACGAAGTTTCCATTGGTAGCAGTAATACTGTAAAGTCTGTAACGTTCAAAGAATGAGGAATTAGATTTATTGTTTCTTTTAAATGTGTAATTCTATTTTTTAATATTTTCAATATAATAATTTGGTTTTTTCATCATAATTCTTGTTAAATTATGATTCTGTAGCACCGTTTTAATGTATAATAGTCTTATTGAAATCATATTTTAGTTACGAATGCATTCAATTCTCTTTAAGGCTTTAAGCAATTCTTGATGATCTTCAATTAATTCAGTTGCTATCGCTTGTATATTTCACATTTATTAAGTAAAATTTCTTCTGATGAATATGCTATTATTTTTATATTATTTTGTCATTATTATGAAATAACTTGGGTAATATGTTAAGAAAATTAATATTTCTTATCATTTTTCGGCATTTTCTTATTTTTGTAATGCCAGGAATTGAACTAAACCCTTTTTTTAATTTGAAAATAAATCCAAAATTTTAGTGCGTTTTTTAATATTTTTAGTTGTTGAAGAATTTTATGTCGTTCTATTTGCGATTAAAAAAAATTTTTTACCGTGTGGTCCCAATTTCGTCGTTTTAGACACCTACCGACTGAAAGTAAGTCGTTTTCGAGATACATATTTATATATATGTATATAGAAGTATGGTATATGGACGTGTTTGTACGGTGAAACAGCAGATGAGTGTGTGTGTGTATATATATAGATATATGTATATATAGATCTTAAACACTCCTACATATATATATATTCATGTATATATACTATATAAATATATATAGAAGTATGGTATACGGTGAACTAGCAGTACGGTGAACTAGCAGTTAAGTGTTAAATATATAGCATACACTCCTATCTACATATATATTTATATTAATGTATATATACTATATAATTTATTCATAATAATAAATTTTTATTATTCATTATTTCTATTATTTTTCATATTGTGCTAAAAATTTCGTGAAATTTTTGACGAAATCTTGTTGTGCAAAATAATAATAAGTTGTTCGCAATAATAATAAAATTTCTTGTATGGAAGTTTCCTAGCGTTAGTATAATGGTAAGTTTAATTATTTAAATGATTTTTTCGCAATAATTAGACTTTTTATTGATTTTAATATATTTTTACTCTTCATTTTACGATATTTTGAAGTAATTTGTAGAAAATTTTGTTAAAATTATGAAAAAATTAATGAAAATTTGAGTTTTCGCGATTTTTAGCGACAAATCAACGTAAATCATCATTTTTCACCATTTTTAACACTATAAATCCTCATTTTTCATAATTTTAACGCTATAAATCAACGTAAATCACCAATTTTTAACACTACAAATCAACACGAATTATCATTTTTTACCATTTTTCACGCAACAGCTTAACGTAAATCACTATTTTTCATCATTTTGAAGAGGAAATAATAGGTTTTTTTGACATTTCATTTACTATTATTACGACATAGTTATTTAATTCTTATAGCGACTATTTAATATACGAAAAATTGAACATATATAAACAAAATCAATGCCTAATATATTATATATCATACGAATAATATGTAATATCAATAAAATATATTGTTCTATGATGTATTGTAACAAAATGTAATGTAATTACGACGTAATATGTTAAAATGTTATGGTGACACAGCCATTACAACATTAATTGTTGAGAGTTTAAAAGGTAAGAAGAAAAAAGTGAGAAAAATCACAAGAACAATATATAATAAATGAATATTATTAAAATATATAAAAAACACATTTATACAATATAAACATTTATATACCACTACACAAATATATAAAATTTGAACATCATAACACATATAAATGATTGCACTCTAGACTAGAAATAAGATAGATGGAAGAAATTGATAAAAAGAGGAAAAAAAAATTTGATTTAGCAATATGAATAAATGAATTAGTAACAATCGAAATGAAACATAAAAAAAATGTACACACATACAACGTACACACGCATACCATGCACACACACGCATACAACATATACGCACATATATACGTCTATATTTATTGATTTAACAGGAATTTTGGTTTCTTTTTAAAAATTTTGTTGAGATCATTTCTGAGTTCCTCGCTGAGGCAGGGCTGAGCACTGTTGAGAAAATCTTCCAAGATGATACAGTAAGTTGCTAGTTGTTGTAAGTGCTGTTGTTCTGTTGTAGTTGTTGCTGATGTTAATGTTGTTGTAGCTGGTGCTAATGTTGTTGTTGCTGATGTTTCTGACGGTGAAACTCGTTGTTGCTCAGCTGTTGTTGAAAAAGTGGTAATTGTAATTGAAGAGTTGTTGGTTGATGACATTGCCGTTATCGTTGCCGCTGTGGATGTTTTTTTAGCAACAACATTCTTTGATGCTGCATCAGTGCTGGAATTACTTTTCAATGCCATCATCTCATCTTTCAGTAAGTAGTATTCAGATTTGTAAGATTGCAACTGCCTGCTTATGTCCATGTCGAACACCTAGTAAAAAATTATAACAAATTGCTATCCAGTATACTTGTTGCAATAGAGATAAATAATAATACTATTCTTCTTCATTTTCAGTGTTCTCTAAATGATGATGTTTCAAATAAATGACAATCAAATTAATTTATTAATAACATCGCAAAACAATCAACAATATAGCAATAATTTAAACGTTCAACTGTCTCAAACAATTCAAAATGTAACCTAAAAAAGACAACAAAAGCAATAACTCATGAAATCTACCTGATTAATAATCCTCTCCATCTGTATGATGCCCATCTCGGGAAGTGTAGTTTTCAGAAAATCGACAGTACCTTCAAAACCTTGACATTGCTTTATAAGTTCTTTGTGGTTGCCTAGCAACACGAGAGCAACTTTCGTTATGACATCTATGCCTTGGAGGAAAATCAAGTCTGGAGGAGAAAAAAAATTTGCAACGATTGGTCAATTTGTTGCGGCTGGCTGACGTGATTGGTTAGTTGCCGACCGACTGTGATTGGTCTGTTATTATTTAGTTCAGGCGTTCCAATCTAGTTAAGGATAAAACCGCGAATAAAGACCAACCGAAGACTCTTGCAACGAAACCGAGCGGAAACTGAGAGGAGAAGACAGTGAGGAACCAGGAGGCAGCGTAGAGGGTTGGATTGATTTCAAGTCCTTCCAGGTGTTCAAAGAGATCCCTGTGTAGATCGTGAACGAGGCGGGAGAGTTGGTACAATTTGATCTGTTGAAATTTAAAAAAAAAATGAAAATTTATTAACGAACTATTTTGCGGACTAATAAAAATTAGAAATGTACCAAGGGGTAGTTCAGTTCAGAGGTCAAACAATAATTTAGAGAAGCACACATGTATGTATGCGTGTGTTTGTACGTACGTATGTACCTGCAAATGAATCATGTCCATCTCATACTGCTTCCTAAGACCAAGATCAAACATGAGATGTTTCAACAACTTGAACGATAGCTCTTCTGGAGCCTAAAGTTGTGAGAGAACGAATGAGTGAATGATTGAATAAATAAATATATAAATGAATGACTGATCGATCACTTGATTGGATGAATGAACAAATGAACGGATGAATAAACAGTTACATGCCACAATTGAAACAAGCGACAAAAGTATGTTTCAAAAAGATTCTACAACAAATACCAAATATACATTTCACATGTACAAACACACGGAGAATCGTACTAACGTGCATGAGCAGAACTCCAGCCACAAAACTGATACCCTGACAATAGCCGACCTGCGCGTCAATCAACGAATAGGCCTTCAGGATGTTGAACAATGCAATCTGTCCAGCTCCTAACTGCGTAGAAAACAACGGATGGCCAGGGAATGTACGACCTTGACGTTGATTAATTATAATAATTTACTCTACTTCGGCACTGTATTTTATAATTTATTGGCACGAACTAAAAAACAGATGAATGATTAACTAGATAAATGTATTAACAGACCAATTAAAGACCTCAATAAGCTCACGACTTAGGCCTTAATTTTCATAAATTATTTGTAAAAATTAAAAAGCAGAGCACCCAAGCCAGCCAGCCCTCCAGCCACTGACCTAGATCGATGAGTATTGCGTGCTGATGTGTCGACCAGTTCTTCAATATCTCTCTATACGGCCTCCCCTCCAACTCATCACTATCTCCACTCTTCTCACATTCATCTGATTTCTTATTGGCTGCTGTTGAATCATCATCATCATTGCCACAATTATGCTGTTGATGGCGACCTAGATGTTTCCACTGATGTATAAGGTAGAGCCAAATTTGGCCTCGACGCTTCCTGGGGACACCTAGAAATATAGAACATTTTAGCAGGTCAAATTTATAGCAAATACTAACGAGTAAAAGTGAAGAAAAATTTTCTTCAAATTCTTGTTTTAAAGCCAAATTTTGTAATTTTTGCATTGAAGTTGTTTTTGTCTCCAATTGTAATACTTTCGGCAGTGAAATATCAGTTGGAAAGGATATTTGACCATTTTATTGCAATTTATGGCAACAGCTAGACGGGTATGCATTTCTGAAATATTATGGTTTGTTAATAAAAATGTGGAAACAATTAATGATGAAAGTTTTAAACATGAAACAGCGGAATTTTATACTAATGACGAAATATCTAGCAGTAAAAAATTGTTATTTTCTGAAATTGAAATTTTAAAGTCAGACAAAGTTGCTAAACTGAAGATAACTACTGGAGGTAAAGATAAATATGAAAAATTTTGTAAACTAATAGATTTGATAGATTCCTGCTGTGAAAATAATTTGTTGATTCAGTTACCTATTTTTACAGTATTGAATATAAATCGCATTCCTCTTCGGCTTGCAATGGATAATGGCAAAATTATTACTGAGAACTTAGTTAAATTGAATAAAAAAATGGACAAAAATGGAGAACTGATTGCTCAGTTGGTCACACAAAAAATCAATAGTGAAACTATTACTGAGAGCTTTAATAAATTGAATGAAAAAGTTGATAAACACGTTCAAGTAATTACTCACTTGGCAATACAATCTGACAGCCAAAATAAAGGCACTGTGACCTGCAACATCTGCAAACACATACTGACTACTAAGGCTAGTAGTGTTGCTAGCGGTGCTAAACCTTCAGAAAGTAAAGAGCCAAGTAAAACAGAAATAAAAATTCTGAAAAATTCTCGTTGGGGTGATGCTCCTTTGACGCCGTCGGCTGGTAATGTTGCTGATATCTTTTGGCCTGTGGAGCCTATGAAAAAACGTCATCGCCCAGCAACTCCCACACTTGATCAAGTTAATATTGAGACTAAATCATCTGTCAAGGGTATAGTAGGTCGGAAACCTCCCCTAAACTTGGTTATAGCTGCAAACAAAGCCGTTACAAAGAAAAAATTCTATCATATTGGTAATGTGGCAAGATGCACTAAGGACAACATTGTGGAATACTTGAAGTCACTTGATGTGGAAACTGTTTCATGTTTTCCTGTTTTTAAGAAGTCAGACAAAGGAACTAAAACACCAGTACTCAAAAAAGATGGTAATGAGGAGAATCTCTCCACAGACGAGACTAAACCAACGTCTTTGGACAAGTCAACATCCTTCAGGTTGTGCGTAGATATAAAATTTGCCAATGTGATTGAGGACATGGATTCCTGGCCAGAGCATGTGAGAGTTCGTGAGTGGTCGTTTTCTTCACATCGTAAATCCTCTACCAACCCGGTCAACACAATAGCTCAAAATGGATAGTAATTTTGATCCTGACTTGAATTATTTTTATCATTTATTTAATTCATGTAAATTTTATAATACTACCAACTTAAATTCATTATTCAATTCTGGTGTTACCAGTTTATTACATGTCAATGCTAGAAGTTTGTTTCACAAAATTAGTGAATTTGAAATTTTTCTTAATCAATGTACTATTAATTTTAATGTTATTGCTGTAACAGAAACTTGGTTAACGGATACTACGGGTCCGCTTACTGTTATTCCAAAGTATAATTTTATTTATAACAATAGACATAACAGGCGTGGTGGTGGAGTTGGATTATTTATTAGAGATGACCTAGTTTATCATGAAATTAATGTTTTAAAATCATCCTCAGATACCTATGAGTCAATGGCCATTGAAGTCAATATTGGGTTACATTTCAACATTGTTGTAATTGTATTCTACAGGCCTCCGGACTCTGATCCCCTGACTGTTTTTGATCATTTTTTTAATGTAATCAAAAACTGTAGAAGTCTCAAGAATAAGGTTGTTTATATTCTTGGGGATTATAATATGAAACTACTTGATTCTGTTTGCAAAAATTCAGTAACATATTTCATTAATTCTTTTTATTCTTTAAATTTTTTTCCACTTATTACAAAAGCCACAAGAATTTCTAATCACGGTTTTTCCCTTTTGGATAATATTTTTACAAATAATCCATCCCCCCACTCCGCGGGTGTCATTTATAGTGATTTGTCTGATCATTTGCCAATTTTTTCGTTGATTAATGAGAGTGTTGACACCGATAATATTGTTCAAATTCCTAGATTGTGTTATTCAAAAAATAACTTAGCTGAGCTTAATACAAAATTAAATTCTGTAGATTGGTCGTTTATTTTGGAATCTTCTGATGTTGAATTTGTTTTTGATGCCTTTCTTAAATTTATTCATACCGCCATTATTGATGTTTGCAAGCCCAAATCAGTTAAGAAAAATAAACGGTGATATAACTTATGACAATGAGGTGATTGCAAATTCTTTAAACAAATATTTCACTGATTTGGTTGATGGCATCAATGTTGATGTTAATGATAGGAATGTTACCCAATATTTGAACAATCCTGTTTCATCCTCAGTTTCAACATGTGAGACTAATGAATTTGAAGTTCTAAATATTGTTCATGGGCTGAAGAATTCTAATTCTACTGGTCATGATGGAATATCTAATTTCGTCATAAAAAACGTTATTTCTACAATAATTAAACCTTTAACATATTGCATTAATTTATCATTAAAATCAGGAACGTTTCCAAAGTGTTTAAAAATAACCAAGGTTATCCCTATACATAAGAAAGGCCCTAAAGATTTAATTAATAATTATCGTCCAATATCCTTGGTTTCATCATTTTCAAAACTGATTGAAGGAGTTGTGCATAATTATCTGACCTCCTTTTTAAATAACCACAATATTTTGTCAGATTGCCAGTATGGCTTTAGAAAGGATTGCTCGACTGAGCTTGCTATCCTTGAATTAACGTTATATATTTCAAAAAATATTGATTCTAAAAAACATACAATTGCAAATTTTATTGACATCAGTAAAGCTTTTGACACTGTCAATCATAAATTGTTAATAATTAAGCAATCACATTATGATATAAGGGGAACAATGTTGGAGTGGTGTAAAAGTTACCTCGAAAGTCGTTATCAATATGTTACTATTAACTCAATTAATTCTACCTTGATGCCTATCAGCTCTGGTGTTCCCCAGGGTTCGATACTTGGTCCTTTATTTTTCAATTTATTCATAAATGATCTTGTTAATTACCATTGCCAGTTAAATATATAACGTTTGCAGATGATACCACCATTTTAGCCTCTGATCAATCATTGCGGGTAGTCGAAGAAACTCTTAATCAAGAGTTGTCTCGAGTTAGCTCATGGATGTTCAATAATGGTCTGCAAATTAATATCTCAAAAACATATGCTTTACTTTTTGGTCCAAAAATTGTTACAAATCTTCTAAACTTTTCCCTATATTATAACAATAATCAAATAACAAGATTAGACAAAATAAAATTTCTTGGGGTTACTGTGACAAGCAATTTGTGTTGGAAAGATCACATCATTAATGTTTCAACAAAAATTTCAAAGATTTTGGGTATTCTTTATAAGTTAAATTATATTTTACCAAAATTTGTAATTCTTAAGCTATTTTATACTCTTTTTTATCCACATTTAATATATTGCATCATTGTGTGGGGTCGTCATGTTAAATCTCATATTGTGTTACTTGATAAATGTTTGTTTTATTTTTTTAGGATTTATTACGATTTAAGAAAATTTGACCGTGTTTCATTGTTTTTCCAAATCTAGGATTTTAACAGTCTCTAAACTTTATTTATTTCGAGTACTATTATTTTTATTTAAATTAATTGTTTTAAAAAAACATTTGCAATTTCATTCTTTTTTGATCAATTCGTCTTCGTATTCTCTCAGAATTACTCGTCAAACACTGCCATATCATATTGTCAAGTCAAGAACTGCCTTATTTTCTTCAACTATATTTATTTTTGGTTTAAAATTATGGTTTCTGTTACCTTCTGATTTTCATTATATAAATAGCATCACTCAATTTAAAAAGCAAATTTTTAATTGTATTCATCATGATTATTTTCCTACTGATATTTATTGACATTATTTCATAAACTTAAGTTTGTGCTTATATTTGTTGGATTATTTTGCATTGTAAGCTATATATATGATGTGACTTCATGGATGTATTGTGTCTATATATTGTAAGAATGTATTTGTATGTTTTTCTTATTGAATATTTTTTAAGTGGACACTATATTTTTGGTTAGGGTGGCCATACAAGCTTGTTTTTTTAAGTTTCTGTGTCTCCCAGTTTTGTCTAAATAAATTTGTCTAAAAAAAAAAAAAAATATGATAACAAGATACCTACCAGCCCTTACTGTTTCAACAATGTGGGCCCAAGTGTACACATGATTGACATCATCATCATCTTCGTCGTCATCATTGTTGAGGTTGCTATCATCATCGTCGTCATCATCATCATCATCGCTGCGATGTTTGACATCACCACTGATGAAATTATCATCCTTTAAACCGTCACCGTCATCATCATCATCACTCCCCCCATCATCATCATCATTGTTACCTGTATTACAACCATTAACACTACCACTCTCACTTCTATGGCTGCTGCTTTTATCACCACCATCATCATCATTATTATCATTACCACCACAGAAACATTCTTCATTATTTAGTTTATTATCACTATTATCATCATCGTCATCGTTGTTGATGATGCCGCTATTATCATTGTCGTTATTTATATTGCTATTGTTGTTGCTGTTTCCATTATTATTATTATTATTGTTGTTGTTGTTGAGCTGGTGGTAGTGACGCTTCAGCATCCTATCCCAGACAACTGACACTCTCCTCAGGCATGGAGTGATTTCATCGTAGTTCACTTTTAATGGCCTCACCTGTTTTACTAAAAATAAGAAAAATAATATCAATATTATCGACATATATCACAATTGAATTACGTTTAAATGTATTTAAAATACGTCAAAATTGAAATTTGAGAAACGGCAATACAAAAATTGAACTAAACTCACTGCATTGCTCCTCATCATCATCCTCAGTGTGCAAACTATGGCTGCTGCTGTGGCGACGCTTGTCGAAATTATTATTTTTGTTATTATTTTTGTTATTCTTCTTGTTGATTTTGACGAGGTAGAGGGTGTCGGCGATGGCCTTCCTCCAGAGGTGGTTCATTTTTTTCACCGGCGTCTGATGGCGAAGCTCTTTCAAGTAACGTGGGTAGTTCACTGGTAGTTTGAGGTTGTGGTGGTTGTCCACAAATACGTCAAATATGACGGAGAAAACAATAACATAAATTTCTATAACAGCAATGATGACATCAACAGCACGATAAAACACAAACACGTCATAAACAAGAGTGTTGCTCAACTTCTTTCTTCAAAGAGGGACCATAGGACCAAAAGTTGGGGCACGGAGGGCTGAACTTTCGGAACCCTAATAAGATGGCTAAGACTGAAACTCACTAATTTTTAAACGGCTGTTTCAAATATTGCTTGTTGAAATTCTTATAACAATTTTTAAAAAAACGTTTGTTCTTCAGTTTTGATTTATTGATATGCACATGATTAAAAATGTCTGCTCACATCTGAACGTGCCTCCCTCCAAACATAGCGGCAAATATATCAATGCATTTCCTTTCAAGTTTATAATTCTCTTGGAAAGTTTTTAAAAAACTCAATAAAATTGGAGTTTCAAATTGCAATTTATACCTGATGTTTGCAGATCAATTAGTTTCAGCCAACATTTTTCAGGAGCTTCTGCAAGGAGTTTTATACTTTGTATGCATTATTGTTCACGTTTCAAATGAGAGAAACAATTTTGCTGCAACTTTCTACAAAAAATTATTTCTCAGCCCATAAATCTGAAAACTCTCAACCTCCATCACCGCTGATCATTGTTGAGAAGTTTAGAGAACGGACAGAAAATTAACGTGCAACGATCGAGACACAGCAGCAAATATGACAAACACTGATTAAACTTATAGGCTAACTCAGATCTGTTTGATTCTCAAAAGAACGAGTTTTGACGCAAGATACTGCATCTACTTACTCCTAACGTTGCTAACAAAGTTCATCATGAAATATGTATCTCATCTCTACACTGCTGCTGATTAAACAAATTTTCACAAGCCGAAATCATGCCGCGGGCGGCTAAGGGTAACTCGCGGGCCGTCTGCAGCTGGCCCCCCTCTGCCTCTCTAATTAACAACAGCACACCTCCAGATAGGCTGGCTTTGCTTGTAGTAACAACTTTACTCAATAGGCCAAGTCTCCAGGAATCCACTAGATCATTTGGTTGCTGTTGTTGCTGTTGTTCGTGGCGTTGCTGAATCACTTGCTTGACACTCTGATCCAGTGATTTGTCATTTCGATTGTTTGTCAGCAACGTTGTCGGAGATGTTTTTGGAGATGTTGCCAGCGACGTCACGAATGCTGTTGTTGTTGAAGATGTTGTTGTTGTCGTCAGTGAGGTTGTCGATGTTGTTGGCGACTTTTTCTTCCTTTCAGGTTGGTTCCCAACACTCATGAACCTGAAGGAATGAACATCAATGGATTTAAATAAACATGAAAACCTAAACAGCAGAACAGCAGTTGAACGCAAAAAAAAGACAAACACAAACTCAAAAACCAAAAACAACAGCACCAACAACAAAATCATTGAAACAAATAAAACATCCTCAACAACATCGAAAACACAAAGAACCTACATAGATCTAATATTTAAATTTTCACTGTATTGTTGATCCTGATTATGATAACGGTTTTGCTGTTGATGATGATGTTGTTGTTGACTATAATGAAGATGATGATGTTGTTGAGTAGGATGATGTTGTTGTTGTTGATGATGATGAGAGCCTGACGATGAGGGAGATGTTGGCGACGACAACTGCAACGATGATAATGGTCTTGATGGTACTGGCAACGATGCTGTTGCTGCCGATGATGATGACGACGAAGATGTTGTCAGGAGCTGTGCAGATAATGATAACGACAACGATGATGATGATGAATTCACACAAGCAGTAAATGATGATGATGATGCTGCTGCTGATGATGAAATTTTAGTCACTCCCAACAATGATGTAGATACATTTGACCTAGATTTATTTTCGACCAATCGCAGAAGACAACTCACAATGACCTCATTAGCTTCTTGGAGAGTTTCACAACCAGCTTCCTGTATTAACGTTTCAAAATATATTTCATATTTCTCCTAATTTTTTGTTAATTCGTTCCTTCGTTCAATAATTTATCTATATATTCACTCACTCACTCATTCATTCATACATACATGCATGCATAAATGCATTCAAACACTCAATCAATCAACCAATTCCATTCTATTACTTACTTGCATTTCAGTCATTGACACAAGAAAGACTCATCAGCAACACTAACAAAACAACGCATCACATCATAACCACATCAACATCATTACCACTATCATCATCACATCAGCACCATTACCATCATCACGTCACCATCATCATCATCACATCAACAACTAATAAACATCAACAAAAAAACAACAATCCTGACATTAATAATAATACAATGACGACAACAACATCAACTAATAACATAAACAACAACAGCTAATAACATCAACAACGACGTGAACGACCTGAATTTTTTTCAGGATATTAGATTGCTCCTCTGGATGGAACCTCTCAATGAATAGCTGGAGCATGACGTGCGCATCAGCAAAAGACCTATCTGGATAGTTATGAAATAATTATATTTAAATAATAATAATAATATTATTATTATAACACAATATAATTATTAAATTACAAAAATATTATGATGATGAACTGGTTAGTTAGCAGCTGCTGCTATATTTATTTATGTCATAATTTAACAGCCTTACTGTCACAATCATCATAAATAAATAAATAAATGAACAAATCAATCTCTAATTATAATTAAACATTAGATTAATGTTATTTAGCTTACTCTGAATCTCTTTGCACAACGTATTAAGTCTCTCTATGGCCGCATTGTTACTGAGAACCGCATTGAAGAGGACATTATCGTTACTGTTGTAATTATTGTCTGTGATGTCTTTATCGTTGTGGATGTAGTTGTTGAAAGCAGATGTAGTTACAGATGATGATGAAAATAATGATGAAGAAGATGACGAAGGAGGGAGTTGAGCTGATGATGACAATGAGGACGTTGGAGATGATGACGATGGTGGCGGAGGTGCTGCTAAGAGCTGGAGTGCATTCTTTAGAGATCTCATTATTTCCAGCACCTAGTCAGTGAGTGAATGAATGATTGAAAGAATGAATGGGTGAATGAATGAATAAATAAATGAGTAAATAAAAAAAAAATTAATGATAATAACTTCACTAACTTCAGATTCACTATCACATTTCAGTAAGTGACAATTCAATACCATTCCACTGGTACTACTACCATTGCTCACATGTGCAGGCAGTGATGATGACGATTGTAGATGAGTGGTCAACCATGGTGATGACCCCGGTGTCACTAGGCCAATGTATGATGGGTTTTTTATCCCCTATAGGAGCATATAAACAAATAATCTGTTGATTAAGACGAATTTCTTAGTTAAAAACTTTAAAATAACCTGAGAACAGGAAATTATATCTTTGAGTTTGATGACAATGAGTGGATTGGGATTAGCAAATTTTCTGATCTCTTCGCCATCTTCGTATTCATCGTCATCGGCATCCACAATTCTCAATTCCTCATTTGCAACATTAAGAAAATATCTAACACTTGCAATTTGAGGATAATCAGAATTAGCGTAGTAACCGGATGAAGTTAAGTTTACTTTTCTCAGAATCAAAACATTCTTATTTTTTTTCCCATCGCGATCATAGTTGTAGCTTCTATGGCTGGCATACTCTGGAACGAGCAGTGAGATCTTTTCGTTGAGAACATGTGATGAAAAACCACTGGGCCCATTAGAACGGCAGTTGTATATACTCCGGATTAAATTCTCAAAATTAGTGACAATTTCGTCTATTATCAAATTGGGAACGCACGACGAACGAGAAAATTGAGCACATCCCAGATAAAAAATTCTAAACTTACCATCCTGCAATCTGTTAGACATTTTATATCATTTTTACAACAAATGGATGACTAACCAGTTTCTTTTTTTCATAAAATAACATATTATAATTTCTAAATTTAAAAATTTTTACATTTTTTAAGTTAAAAAAATTTAAACTTTCAAACAAAATCACGGCAACTATGAAAGTAAATCATTGTTTAAAAAACACTTTTAAAAGTGAATTGAGGTAACAACAAAAAATCAAAATTTTCATTTAAAATTTTTTCAACGCATATCACGGATAAACATAAAATAAATAAATAATAAATTAAAACAGATACAGCAGGTCAAATAAAGTAAAATTAAAAAAATATAAAGGGCTGATATAACAAATTTAAACTTTAACCTATAAATAAGTCCAAAATTTTCGAATAACTTACCATAAATAAATTTGAATGAGAATAAAGGTTGCATCATCAGCAAACAGTACGGATTTCAAAAAATTAGCAAAATCTTTAATATATACATTGAGACAAGGGGCCCAAGACAGAACCTTGAAGGACACCCGATTTAATATAAGACAGCAAAGATTTAGAACTATTGATACAGACAAAATGAAAGCGATCAATTAAATATGAAGAAAAGCAATCATAACCCAATCCCCGCACACCATACGAATACAACTTAAACATTAAAATAACATGATCAAGAGAATCAAAAGCTTTACACGGATCAATAAAACGACTTAGAATATTTTTTGGATTCAAGGGCAAGTGAAACAAAATTAATGACATCGACAACAGCAAATTCAGTTGATAGTTTGTTGCGAAAAACATTTGGCTAGAAACTAACAATATTATAACAATTAAAAAAACCATTAAGGCGATTAAGAATAATTTATTCAATCAATTTAGACAAGCAAGAAATAGGACGATAATTATCGATAGAATGACGGTCACCTGATTTGAATAATGGTAATATTTTAGAAACTTTCAAACATTTAGGAAAATAACCATTTTTAATAAATTAATTTGATAATACAAAAGCGTTAAAATACTATGAACAATGTTTTTCAATAAGAAATTAGAGATATAATCACCACCGTAACTGTAAGAATTTTTAAAAGAGAGGAAAAGAAATTTTCATATATG